TCAAGTGAATGTCATCTTCGTATCTGTGCACATATAAATGAGCTTCTCGCAATTCGTGATGGAGACTTACAGGTTCCAAGCAATTTTACAAATGATCAAAGGATTGTTGATGATATGACTCATATGATGCGTAAATTAATTTGTAATATCTCACTTTTTACCCTTTTTTTTGCTGTAATGTTTTTATACTGTGTATCATGTATTATGAACATATAAAGTATGAATTGAATTGAATTGCTGCGGAGATCGAAACTTGAATGGACGAATAGGATTTAAAGTAATCCAAAAAAATCCTCAGATTTAATAAAATTACGTTATACATGAATAATTGCACAACATACACATTTAATCTTGTTTCATTAGTGAAGGGAAAGTGTTTTGCTCTTAAGTGGAACCGATATTTCCATCCACGTTTCAAAGGGAAGACGTACAGCTCACGTGGGGTTTCCGGAAGTTGCTTTGTATGTATTTGTCATTCCGTGTCGGTACATGTTTGAAATGATGGTAAGTTTAATTCTACCGGAGCTGAGTTTTTTTTTAATTAGACACGGTCATTCAACGAGAAACATGACCGGTTTGTGTTCAAAATCGGTGCTTGTGCGACATTGTATCTAGTATCCAGTGACGCCTGGTGAGCTGAAAATTGGTGAAGCTTTCCTCCAATGATTGGTCTTCACATCATTCATTTAAATTAATACTACTTAAACTCCGAAAATACCCAACATTATCAGGTGTGGCCAGTTTTTCTCATAAGGTTATGATGTAGAAAACGCGTCGTGTCGGCACGAAATTACCTTTAAATAAACGTTATTCTTTTGCGGATATTTGCTGCTAAATTTCGCTTTCTTTGTTTTAAGTGAACAATCATGAAGCTAAGATTAAACTGAGCAAGATGTGCTTAAAGCAGGCGTGGGATTTAACATCGAAGTTTGGTAAAGCGATTCTAACAACATCTGTTTAATCGCTGCAGCATTACATTAGGAAGGAAGCTGTGTGGTAAACTGCCGATGGCTGATTCTTCTCATAGGAAAGCTTGTTAACCACGGAAAAGGATTAAAAATAGATCAACTATCAGTCCTCGTTTTATTTTTACAAGCAGAACTGACCACACCGAATGGTCCCGAGTGTCCCGAACTTCACATAAAGTCAGTTTAAGTCAATTAACCCTTACATTCTGTTCATATTTGATGCCCTCACAGTATGGTCCGGACCAAGAATATCCTCATAAGTGTCTATTCTAAATTTTGAACTACAGATCTATTTTGATTGTAAAAAATAGCCTATCTGACATTAGTAAATGGATGTTTAATACTTAATTGATGTTTCAGAGCGCAAGGAGAGTATTTTTTAGGTTGTACAACACTCGTTTTTGGAGAAAAACATCTAATATCACACAATGTCATGTCCTGTTTTACCTAAGACATGAAAAGATAACAGCCATAATGACTGAAATAAATTTGATTAAAGGTGAAAATGGAAAGAACATTCTGGAACTGTCAGGATGTATCATATGACCACATGACCACTGTCATTGCTGCTATATCATGAAATTCACAATTTTAAGAATCACAGACTCACAATTATCAATAGTGATTCAACATTAATTGACATTTCGAACACAAAGCATTAAAACATAATTATTGCAAACTAGTAAATTAGTCTGTGCGCTGAAAGCAGTTGTAGAAACCTTGCATGTATGGGACCAACAGATGGATTTCCCACATTTGCCACAGGTTGTCCCTGTTTTGCGGTCCTTTTTTCCAGAGCAGAAATTGCATCTCCTTCTCTTCTGTCCCCTTGTGTAGCCTTCTTGTGTGACTTGCTGATCAGCCCCCCCATCCCAAATTGATTCTAATTTGTTTATTTTTAGATTATTTTGTTACATTGTAAGGGCTTGCAGTGCAGTTCTTGTGTCTCTGTCAAGTCACCCTCTGACCTCTGTATGACTTATGTGTATCATATATGATCACTCCTATGGCATTTCACCATTTCACTATTTTGAGATTGCCACACAATACCTCAAAGGCAAGCAGGTGCCTGTTTCTGCGGGAACCTGGGCAAATGTGGTGGGACCACAAATGGCTCTCGTGACAGTGTCAAGGTCCCCCTTGAACTCTGTCACCACTGTCCCATAAAACGTACTCACAGACATCAAGTGTACAGTTGGACAGTTTCAAAATTCCCTAAAACCACCATTGTCCTTGATTTCACCCACACTAGTGGATATGAAATCCATCTAAATAGATACGGGTCAGATTTGACCCAAAACAGCCTCAGTGGACAAAAATTTGTAGCACCTGTGCAAAAATAAAAAAATTTAAAATGTTTTCATTTGAATGGATTTTAGGTTACTTTAGGAAAAGTCATCAAATTTCAGGCTAAAAGAATGACATTTAGGGTATGCTTACTGCTGTCAAATGTCAAAACGGATCAAATTTGACCCAAACAGTATGTAAGGGTTAAATGATTGATGACCGGTCAAAACCAATCATTATTCGAAGGGATGGTCTGTGCTTCACTATTTTTCATTTCACCAGTTGCCTCTGCCGTGATTACAAAACTCATATAAGGTAATTTGTACCCAAACTGGTATTTATTATATAACTCATGACAGTGGCCACTCAGCAACAGTGGAATCATTGCTGGTCAGCAGTGGAGATGAATTTATACCTAATTTCGGGATTACTTTTGAATTTGCTGTCAGCTGCAAATAAGCAGTATAACTATATATGAATAAAGTCAGCAGTAAAGTGAACAGAAAGACAAAAAAAAGGGAATGACTTACAAAGCACTTTCATTGACAAAATTAGCTGTGTTGGTCCTTTGTTGAACTTTCTCCCATTTACAGAAAAATGAAAGATGGTCTTATGACATGTATTCCTGTTTTCCTTGTCCTCAGGTTTGACAGAAACTCCTCTAATGGGGAGTTTGAAGCGCTGCTGTGATGATCCCTCTAAACTCTACACGACTCTGTCTCCTCTCCGTGAGGAGATTTCACCCCGGACTGTCTCTCTGCTGTCTCTCTAGCTGTATGAGTCCCAGAAAAAGTCAGACACAAAATGGCATATCTGGGACATGGCGAAAATCTTTGTTTTATGCCACTTTTCCCGCCCCTGACTCACGCTCACCCGCATTGGACTGGGGTCTTACTGGGAGACGCTCATTTAGTTTGTCTGCTGCTGCGATTGTCAGCTCAGCACCAGCAGGTGTCCGGCCCTATCTCAGGCTAATGAGGCTGGACAAACCAATCGGTGAGCGACTTACTGGCTATAAGGTATTTTATAAGCTATCTTAGTGTTTTTAGAAATTTCGATAGTTACATTCAGATTCTGTGAATTCCAGCTGCTCTTGGAAATTCTTTTGGATAGATTATGAGCAGCAATATGGCTATGAATATGGTTATTGGTAAACCATTTATATAAAGTACAGCTTCCCTCCCATTGTCATATTCTGCAGCTGTCAGTCGTAATAGTTTTTACTGTAAATTTTACGTTATGGGTACTAGCTGATTGTAACAAAACCAGTGAAAGTGGTGCGGGTTCGGGACCATCATTTGTCCATGAAAAATTGTCAGTGTGTATCTTCCAGAGTTTCCTTTTTGTCAGCTGCCTTGGCGGGGTAATACATCTGTCAAAGTGCCATATTAACACCACCCATGGACCAGAGTTTGTCAATGAACTTAGAGATTCAAGGCATGTGCTGACAGTTGGTTGCTAATCACATGCACGTGGGATGAATGTGTATAATTAGCTGCTGTATAATTAGTGGAGCAATTGGTTTCCAAAGCAGGCAAACAAGGCACATGGCAGGTGACACACAGTTCTTAAACTTGAATAATTCTCAGCAGGTTAATCATGGCTGAAATATGTTGTGTCTTCCCCGCCTGATGGACCAGATGTTTGCGTATTTCTGAAGTCCCTTTGTTTTGTGAAATAAGTGGAGAGAGACAAAATCTATAGAAGTTATCTTTTATTCCAGCCTTGAATTCGTACAATAATCCAAACCCGGAGGGTAGTCCTGGCCAAGAAGTACCAAATCAGCGTTCTTCACAGATGAATATTTATTAGGAAAACCCAACCAACTCTGCTCCAATCACAATTCATGGGTTGTAACCATCTTATCTTTAACGTTTTTTTTACTTCCTGGCTTTGTTTATTAAACCATGGTGGAATACAGAAGTATAGGGTTTAAAAAAAATAAAAGGAATATATACTAAAATGGACTGGAAAATTACAGTTTAAGAGTGGAAAAACTCAGTCAGATGAGTAGGATACAAGCAGATACATAAATGATTCAATTGATTATGCTTTCAGTAACAACTTATGATTTTACTGAACAAATATTGATCAAAGTTATAGAGATCAAATACATCATCTGATTATGTTTTCAAATCAATTAAACAGAAGCTTGCTTACTAATCAAAGCTATAGTAGCCCGCTGCTAATGTGTATGTGTGTGTGTGTGTGTGTGTGTGTGTGTGTGTGCGCGCGCATGTGTGCTGCTTGTGCCTGTGCATGTGTATGCATGTGTCTGAGTGCGCTGCTCATGTCTGTGTGAACTGCTTGTATGTGTGTGTGTTATGCTATGTGTGTATGTGTGTGTGTGTTACTGCTGCTTACATAATATGGATACTGATTATGATTATGATGGCTAAATATTATTGTTAGTTTACTGATTATTAGTATTAGTGAATATAATAATTATGATTGCTAAATATGATTGTTAGTTTACGGTTTATTAGTATTAGTGAATATAATGAATAGCGATTAAATATTGTGATTACTAGTGAATATAATGGATAGTGATGAAATATAATCCTCAACACTCACTGACCACTGCGAATGAGCATTGCATCTCTGTTGTCTTTTTTTACTTTCAATGTGAACCAAATTTCTAGAACCTGTTGCATCCCCTGTGTAAAACGATTCAGATATCTGAGGATGTTAGTTCAGTTTCAGTGCATTATTGTTCTATTAAAATTTATTCCATTAAATCGTGGAGATGTGTTAGCGCAGTGGTTAACTGTGCTTGACTTGGGATCAAGAGGTCCTGGGTTCAAGTCCTGGCCACGGCCTTTGCAGTGTGTTCTTGGCCAAAAACAACTTCACTCCCACACTGCCTCACACCACCCAGGTGTATAAATGGGTACTGGCAAATTGCCAGGGAGACCTGACCCAGCGCTGGGGGAGTGACCTGTGATGGACTAGCATCCCATCCAGGGGGAGCAGCAATACTCCCAGTCACTTCATGCTACTGAAACCACGGTTAAGCACCGGCCTGATGGGCCACGGGGCTTGGAACAGACTTAAGATTTTATTAAATACATTGCTAACTTTTTCTTGAAAATTTTGTTTCCTTTTATCCATCTTGATCTCTAAAAAACCCGAAGTGTGTCAAAAAAACCTGTGTACTTGTTGCTTTTGGAGAAATGTGAAGTTTTCGAGGTGTTTTTGTGAAATTTAGTGAAATCCATTTTTTGGCCCAATTGTTTTAGGACATGCCAAAAAAGAATCACATTTTGATTATATGACAACAGTTGGCTTGTAATTAGCTTTAACTTACCCCAGTTAGAAGTCAATAGATCAAAAATTGACAGAGCTACAATAAAAAATGAATTTCCCATATGCAGCACTCATTTTGCAAGATTTCATATTGATAAACCTAAATAACATATGAAAACATGGTATGAGAACTATTTTTAGTCAGTTGAGGTATTCAAGAAGATGTTTTCATATTTTTATAGCTGTTACAGTTTTTTTTCCCCCCCCTTTTTTTTACCCAAAATCCATGTTGCGATTACCATGAAAACCCTGCCCTGGAACTGAATTAGAAATGCAGTTTCAGTCTTGGTGCTGCCTTCAGGCCTTTACCTGAAAAATCTGTTGGTGGGTCAATGACATGACATTGTCCGAGTGCACTACTTTGGTTTAAAATAATTTTAAATGATTCGTAATAGGCATAATTTTATTCTATAAAACCTGTTTAATTTGAACATATTTCCAGTTTATCATAAAAATGATATATATTTTATGTTTTGCCATCTCAAACCCTCAAAATGTCAGGTGGCGCAACTGTCCGAGCAAGTTGACACTATGTGAAATGTATTAATATGTAATTTAAAATATGAATTAATATAATATTAATATGGGGGCATAATTTTATATTGAAAACCTTTCAAATAAATAAAGTTTAATAGTTTAATTGTTCTTAAATTGATTGGAAAACCAAAATACCCGCCCCCTACAATAAAGAATCCATAAGTTACTTTTAATACCCAGCTCAACTACAAAATGGTAATGTTTTAGGCAGAGTAGACACTCTCAGGTATACTTACTAAAAAATCACTTTGAAAAAAAAGAGGGAAGTTTGTTTTTTTTAAGAAACTTTTGGTTGCGCCACCTGACATTTTTGGCTGGTGAAATTGCAAATACGGTCTAAAACTGTACTAAAACCCTGTAAATGTTGTGCAACCATTAAGACTTGTTTAAACACACTCTTCCAACTTCAAATAAATGTATTCTGTACATTTTTAAAGACTTATTAAAAAAAAAAACATTTTTAAAAGGCTTATTTGTCATTGACCCAGGTGAGCAAATATTTGCTCCTGTAAATTTTATTTTTCAGCCTTAGGTGAGCATTTTTTTTTTTTTTTTTTTGAAAGTAGCAGAATACAGTTTTGCTGTCCCTGCGATACTGCTTTGTTACTTTTTGGTATTTCTAAACACTAACCAGTTCGCTAACGTGGTTTAGCAGTTATGTTTTTCAGTTTGTGTTTTTCGGTTTTGTTAGTTGTCTGTTACCTTCCCCTGCCCAGGCTGAAGACTCCCTTGTGAGCACTGCAGTCTGTTATTTAAGCCCAGTAAGTATAGTTAACAGCTTGCAGAAAGCTCTCGGTGCACTGTAACCCTCACAAACGGTGAGAAACAATGTTATGTTAACAGTGTTACCCATGAGTCTTTGCATACTATGTGTAAGAGTTTGTGTTACAGAAATGTTGTCTAGATGGCGCTGCGGTTTGGATAGCTAGGCGCGTGAGAATTGAATGTTTTTGGGTACGTGCGCATTTCTTTACGCAGCTCAAATGCAATGTTTGGCGCGCAAATGCGCACCTTTCATTAAAACGCCTGGCCTTGGGGAGTTGTTAGTTGAGGGCAGCAAAAGTTTAGAATCTCAAATAATTTTGCTCCAATAAAGTCAAACTAGTATTGAATTGTCTTCAGTGCCGAAGAATGCTTTCTGCCACCAGAGACTGAATAAGCTGTTATACCTCAAGTCACTGCTGGAGTTTTCCTGTTTTTGAGGGAATGTTAATCCCTCGTCCTCTGGTCTGGAGGGGCTTGGTAACAGGATTAGCTGCGTGTGTATGATGGTAAGAAGTAAGATTTCATTGGCTCATGAATGTTGTGGTGGTGTGTCTCTTTAAAGGCACGTGGCTGTTATTCTTGCCCTGCACTTGGAGCATTGCTCTGGCCGCAGACCCCGGCTGCCTGCCTGACCTCTCCATGCTCGCCCTTTTTGGGACCGGGGCCCTGCTGATGAGGGGGGCCGGCTGCACCATCAATGACATGTGGGACAAGGACTTCGACAGAAAGGTACTTCTGAAGACTTTCTGTTTTCCTCCTGTACACTAGTGGAAAAACCGTATTCCTGATGGCGCAGGTCTGTGTGGTCCATCTTCACAGGTTTCGAATTCATCAGTTACCTGTTATTTTCAATGGAACTGATTTTGATTACCGAAAGCCATCAGTCATTTTAATCGCAGTTTCGCCAGTGCAAAATTAGTGAGTCTGAATTGACAGCTCGCTGGCCGAAACCGGCACCTCCAGTCATATGGCTTGGAAAAGTGGTCCGTGAGCGTAACTGCAGTAATTAAAGCAGCTGTGTCACGATTACTGCACATGCTCAAAGTCGTGAGCATGCACAGTAATCGTGACCAGTTTACACTCTTCTTATCCCTTGGCTAAAGTTTAAAATAGCGCTTTTAATCCCCGAATTTCCATAGAAAGCTCCTTAATATAAAAAGCATGATGCCGGAGTAACCAAAATGTATAAATAGAATGCAAAACGAGGACAGATTGGCAAGGATGGAATCAGATTGTGACTGGCAGTCAAGCAGATTCACTTTCTCGAGTTCTGCGCATGTGTAGTAATTGTGATGCAGCTCCTTTAATGAAGTCATTAATTACATAAAAAATGAAAGTAGGCTGCGGAGCTTTTCCTGTTTGTGATATGTGTGGGATAGGATGCTGCCCCGCTCTTGTATTTTATAGTTGCGACGGACAAAATTGTGCATGCTTTTCCGCCACATGCGTTTCCATCTGCGAAGGCTCAAAGTAGATGGTTTTTTTTTTTTTTTTTTTGTCTGTGTGCCTGTAAATGGAATAATGAGGGAATAACATGCACTGTGCAGCCAATCATCCAATTAATTTTGATCCTTTAAATGGGGGCTGTCATGTGTTAACAGTGCTGTAATTCCTACCTTCACCTAATGTAGGCGTTCAGACACTCAAAGGTGAAAGTCTGCACTTTAAGCGTATGTTCATTATTAAAGGTGCTTTCAGCAGTTCTCAGTGAATCTCTGCATGCAGCCCAATACCCAAATCGCCTAAGTAATGTCTTGAGCAGAAATGTCTCTGCTCCCCCCACCAGAGCAGCAGAAGCTAAAGCATTCTACGCCTCGACAAAAACATTTCCTGAATATTGTTGGGTGAAAACAGTCTGCCCAGAACGGAGATTAAACAGAAATTAATTTCAGAAAAACAAGTTACACATTGATTCGTAGGGAGTTGGCTTGCCTTGTATTTCTTCTGTGAAAAGTGTTGTTCTGTGCTGAATGAAATGATTAAAACTGCTGTGTGAATTAGCTGTAGTTACCCAAGAATACTCAGCCTCCCTGGAGCCAAGGTAGAAAGATCTGCACCTCAGAGGGCAACTTCATTGTATTGGGTCTGCAAAATAGACGACATTTTAATAGATCTGCTGATGTCTGGGATTGAAAACGGTGATGTTAGAACTTGTTTAGGGTTCTTGAAGAAAAAAATAAGAATACAATTCCTGTGGAGACATAAGCATTGTTTAGGTCGTCTGTATTTACTGGGAACACAAGGCGAACGCTCCTCTGAGGATACCATTAACATTCTGCGTCTCCTCTTCCGTGCTGAGAGACTGTGTCCTTATTGCAGTCATGTGATTTCAAAGTGTCTGTGTTCTGGCTGTGAGTCCTGTGGCCATACTAATGTTTCATATTATAGAAAAACAATGTGAGTCGGTGACTTCGAGCCAATAAATGTCAAAGCACAATATTCATTTTTTATTGATATATGTTGTTTTTTGTCTCCGGAATTACTGAACGCACCTTTAAGTTTTATCTCCAATGAATAAATTATGGTAGACAGCTAAAATCAAAACACGTTTTTCAGTGTCCAAACATTTATGGACCTGGCTGCATATCAAACCAGATGAAACTGCCAATTTGCATTTGGCCATTAAATAGTGACACTGAAGTGAAGCAAAGGGGCTGATTAGACTGGCCACAATGACAGCAAAACGAACAATCCCCACCCACGGAGAATTAACGGAGCTCCTCTGCAACTGCTTTACAGATATGCTGCAGTGTGTGGTCTTAAAATTATTGAAATATTGACTTCAACCCTTACTTTGCGACTGCATTGTGTTACTGCTGGAGTCTGACGGTTGGGCCTTGACTTTAAAAATGGGAATTTGCATCAGTCCAGTTTAACGGTCTGTGTTTATGTTTAGGCCTTGAAGCTACAGGTAGAGGTTCGATCACATAGATCAGAAGGACTTCCATTTTTACATAACCATTCGTGTCCATTCTCTACTCCGACGAAAATCGGAACGATAAAAAAAAAACTCAGCACCACTCGACAGAAGTTGTATACATTTGTTATCTCTTCTTTATTTACATTTTATTATATAAATTGGTCATGCACGAAGGGGATCACACCTCTTCGTTACTGCAAGACTAAAAACACTCTTTTCAGTTTATGTTAAAGTCAATTTAAGCTTTGCCAAACTTTGAAAAAATCATTGCATAATTGCGAATGCCTTAAA